CAATTTACAACATGGAGACAAGATGGAGTTTACTTCAACCTGGACTGTTTGGTAATAGCAATAGCACTTAGTCTTATCTACCGCTTCACAGAGTCAGCCTATTGCCCCCAATAATTTGGCTCATTTTGTTGACATTGGATGGTTGGAAGGCTGAGTCAACTTTCAGCCAGTCAGAATCGAACTGCCGGCAGTCAGCAGAAGTAGCCTGCAGTACTGCATTCTAACCACTGCATCGCCACAGTAATAGTGGTTCTTATGGTACACCTAGGATTTTTGCTGTCCTTCCATCACATTAAAATAGGACTTGACATGCATTCGTTCAGACTGAAGATGAAGAGAGGATACTTGGTAGTAGCACAAAACAATTTAAGTATGATTTACCCTGATTAAGCTACCCAAGACTGGCCTGGCCAAGTGACTCCAGAGTATTTCATTGAAGGAAGGAGCTGAATCATCAGATTTTAAGAAATCGACTGTACTGAAGCCCATAAAACAATGTTAACTTCCAGTCAGTCTCTACTATGTAGGAAGACAAGCTCAGCTGAAACTCCATTTGGGGGAGCCAGATGGGCACCCACTTTTCAGGGAGGGGTTTTCTCTACAGGCAGCATTCATTTTAGAAGCTAAACATAGAGAGGTGTCTTCATTAGAAGGGGAGGATAGAAGTCTTTGTATAAAATACATCACCGTGTTAATTTACAGCCTGTTAGAGATTGAGATGCCTTTAACATACCTACCACCTCGTTACATTTTCTTCCAGATGGAACAATACACCTATGGATGAAGCTTTACACTTTGGACATCATGACGTCTTCAAAATTCTTCAAGAATATCAAGTTCAATACACCCCTCCAGACAACTCTAGTAATGGAAAAGAAAGTCAAACTGTACAGAAAAACCTGGACGGCTTACTATAACACTCTTCCGACTGAGATTCCAAGTGAATGATCTATTTAATTGTGGAAAAAGATTATGAAGAGTGAGAGTGTTTCTGTTGGATAGTGATGTATATTTTCCAGAGTACTGCTTTGTTCCAATGTTACAGCAGCTTTCTTTGTTGCACACAAAAGACAATAGTTTCTTTTTCAGAAAAAAATAACTATTCATAATGTGAGCAATATTACCTTGTGCTACGTGCAAGTGATAGAAATTATTGTCGGCTATACGCACAGGGGTTCTTTTGGGGGGGGGGCGGGGAAGGGATATCTCCGTGAAGCTTTACTCCATGGTCATACTCATGAAGCACTCCAAATATTTTCCCACCATACCTGCTTACATCATGTAATTTCGTATATATGGACTGACAGATGCTGCCTAGGCTTAACTCTTGTTCCAAGTGTGTTTTTATCAGGGAATCTCTTCCAAGGTTTATTTGACCAAGCAATGTAGGAAAATGTAAGGCAAGAATATTTCACCTGTAGACTCTTTGCCCTGCTTCCCATCCCACCAACCTTCCTCATTCAACTGGTTGAAAGTTTTCCCCTTGGTGAACTGTGACCAATGGCAAAACATTGTGATCACACCTCATTTGGTTTGGTCGTAAACTGTATGTATACATGTTAAGCTGGATGTTGCTTTGTGAACACGTGCTAAAATTCATTTATGCTAAGACGATTTTTTCAAATGGGAATTCACCTTTTAAGTAGATGGCATCTCAAGGTCATTTTGTGTGTGTGTGTGTGTGTGTGCCTTGTGCCCTACCATTTCATTCACAGGGACACCCTCCTTCGCATTTGTCCTCTCAGTTAAAAGTTTGGCCATATTGACCCCGTTGGATTAACCTTCACTAGAAAAGTTCACTTGCAGCTGACCAGATTTTTTGCTAGAGCAGAACATTGGCCACCCTTCATATCCCAGATGCCATTATGGAAAACTCATTAATTCATACCTCCTGTGGCCAAGCACATAAATAGTTATTTTGAAAAAAAAAATGTTATCTATATTGTGCAAAGTCTGGAATGTTGCTCCAGACACACAGCCCCATTGTAAAGTGCTAGAATGTATGTTGACCAGTCAACGTTTTAGTACGTTGTATTTTACTTTATTATTTTTGCTTTAAAACCAAATAAAAATGGTGAAGAATATAACCAACACATAAAAATTGGCCATATTACCCAACAGCTTATTTTTCCCTTAGCCATTACCAAAAAACAACAACACACCCCAATCCTTACTTAGCACCTACCAATCCTTGCAACTATAGTATAGTGTTTCCTTCTTATGATTTGTATTTCATAAGTCATTGTAGCTCCTGGAGTTAGTTTATATATATATATATATGTGTATATTTACATTATCTTCACTTCAGTTCTGCTGTTGCCTTTCATGGTTTCATTCCAAAAATAATGCAACGGTGAATTTTAAAGATTTTATTTATTACATCTACAAGNGTAGATTTGATGAACCGGTTCTACCGAATAGGTGCGAACTGGTAGGAACCCACCTCTGATTTGATAGCAAAAGGAGACGTTGAAAAAAGGAGAATTTGTAGATAGATGATAGACACAATGGGACGGGGAAAGAAAGCATAAGAGAGAACTACACTGAAGAACTAAAATTAATTCAGTGCTTGATTCAGTTTTTCCATTTTTCTCTATTCCAGCTTAACCATAGTTAAGCATAATCCTAATTCTGGGGTTCTAGCATAACATAAGAGTGAAGAAGACTTCCAATTTTAATCAGGACTGAACAATAGTCCAAATCTTGTGACCGAGGACCATGCTACAATGCAGTTCCCACCATGGGGCCAGAGGAAAGAGATTTCCTTGGCATCCTGTGGGCTCCATGCCCACCTGGCATTTTTGGTTTGGTTGCTGTCTCTGACAACGTGGCAATTCTTTTCCAATGGGCAAGCGCTCCATCTCATGGCAACCAGCTTTAAACAATCCTGATGTATCGTCGGGCCAAATGTTTAAGGGCTGCCGATAGTTTATCTCTATGTTATTTGTGATCAGGTTCTTCTCCTTCCATTTTTTTTCCAGATTTGCCTTGTCGGGTATGGATATGGAACAGAGAGACTATGATTCTCGAACAGCATTGCATGTAGCAGCTGCAGAAGGTTGGGACCATGAATATCTAAACTAGCTATTACATTTGGTATGGGGAATATAATGAATTTATGCACTTATATCTCTTTTTGTATTTTAGGTCATGTAGAGGTAGTTAAGTTTTTGCTGGAAGCTTGCAAAGTGAATCCTTTCCCCAAAGACAGGTGAGCATCTGCATGAAAAGTATAGTAGATAATTTTTTACGGTAGTTTTGTTAAAACGATGCGTGCTAGCACTGGCTTCATAAGCAGCATGCTCCAAGAAATTCATACCCTAAAAATCTGATGTTTTTCACAAAGTGTAATGAAACTTCTGCCCCTTTAAGTTAGCCATCAATTAAATCTCCTGGGTCAAGTTGTGGAAATGGAGTAAGCCTCGGGCTTCTGTGCAGAGCAAAACATAGAGTCCTTTGGGTGGGAGATGTGAAGCGATCAAAGGCAACAGTAAAGTTTATGTGGGCCTGTGTTGATTCCTGTGTGCTGCCTGGATAAGTCTCTGCAGTTTTCTTNGGTCCTCATTTTACCCACCTCGGAAGGATGGAAGGCTGAGTCAACCCTGAGCCGGTGAGATTTGAATTGCTGAACTGCAGATAGCAGTCAGCTGAAGTGGCCTGCAGTACTGCACTCTACCCACTGCGCCACCTCGGCTCTCTAGTAGATCAGTTGTCATCATAAAAAACAACAACTACTGTAGACCTAAAGTTTACATCCTGTCCCAGAAACAATTTGCATTTGAAGAGTGAATTATCTCTTGGCTTCTGTTTTTTTCATATTTATGGGAAGGTAGAAGTGAACAAAAGATGACTACTTTGTATAATTTATACATAGCTCTGTATCTGAAATGCTCTTTACCTAATCAGATGGAACTACGACAAAGTTCATCTACATCAGGCATTTCCCTCTTGTAGCCTGTGGGCTGCATGAGGCCCTGGACAGCTAGTGATGTGGCCCCACAAGATCATAAACTTTTAATATCATTATGTGATTTATGTACATTAAAGAAAGTGTGTATTTTATATGTGGCCCAGGACAATTCCTCTTCATTCAGTGAAGCCCAGGTAAGCCAAAAGGATGGATGCCCATGATCTATGTATATGCAAGGAGGTCTTTTGAGATGTATCACTTTCCGAAACACTGTAGTAGAATATGTATAACCCTAAATTGGCCTTTAAGACCCAATCAGGTTGACAGAACAGTTTTAGGTATAACAATGGTTATATTATATCTCCTTTCAAATCCCCCCCCTCAAAAAGCCTGCCCCAAATCAGAAGCCTCTGTAACAAATAGAATGACAGTAAAATGACACATCTTTTAATGTAAGCATGTAAGCCACAAATTTTTGGGAAAGATATTATCACCCACACATTTTCTGCCTATGCCAATAATTTCATAAATATTTTTTTCCTTTCCTTTCTTTCAGGTGAAGTCTGTCATCAATCTTCTGTTTGCTGCATATACAGGAGACGTGTCTGCCCTTAGAAGGTAAAATTGATCTCAGAAGGAAATGTTTGCTTGAGACGGTTACACTTTAAAAAAAAAACATCTCTGTTGCAATTCTGTGTGTATGTATCAGTCTTTCTCAATTCATACATGCATGTGCACTTGTCAAAATAAATATGGGATCAAAAGGACCTTTTCCCCCAGAATTAAAGCAAACCCCCCCCCCAAAATCTGATTCACTAAAGTAGAGAATCCTTTCCTCCTATGGAGAAGATTAATCCAAACAATTGGTCAGAATAAATAGGACAAACTTTATTTTATCCCAGTTCCCTTGCAGAAGAGAGTTGATTTCTTAACATGCCCATGTATTTCCCCTGCTCCTCCAAAGTTTTCCTCCATTGTGAAGACAGAAAGACTCCCCAAGTCAAGCTTGATTACTGCTAATAGCGGGACACACACACACACACAAACACACACAGAAAACTACTGATTTTGGGGCATTTTAATTTCTTTCTCAATCTACTACCTGGCTCAAATTGCCTAGGGCTTTTCCATTCAAGCACTGTCTGGATTTGATCTGCCTTGCTTTGGAGGAATCCTGTCAGCCTTAGTCTAGACAGAAAGCACAACCAGATAGATTAATTTTACTTTATTGCAATTCTGTTACATTAACAGAATCCCGCGAGTCTCAAAATGCATCTCTCTCTCCCAGCCATAGCCCCATTTTTACAGACCAAGAAACTCTTCTGAGATGTTTGCCCTGCCCACATTCCTTTTGCATGCTAAACTGCTTCTTGTCTGGTTGTGGCTCTTCCTCTTGTCTCCTAAGGTCATTCCCACATATTATCTCAAACCTGCCAAGCAGAGGTGGTTTTCTACCGGTTTGGACTGGTTTGCCCAAACCGGTAGCGGAAATTGTGGGTAGGCTTGCCCACCCATCCTGGCTCCTATTTAGGGACATTTTTTTTCTGAGCAAAGCGCATGCGTTGGAGGCCGGGCACATGTGTGGACATTTGCAAACTGGTAGGGAAGGTAAGTGAAAACCAACCCCGCTGCAAAGGTGATTTAAGCATTACTACCTGCTGTCCATAGACTGCTTGCCTAGTGGGGAAATCAGTTCAAAATATATGTCAACTGCTCTCAAAGCTGGAGGTGGGAAGTGGGACATTTGAGGAGCAGAACAGTCAGATCAGAGGAAAATCTAAGGAAATGGGCCATAGTAAAAACGATGTGGTTGTTCTGCCTTTATTTTAGCACCTTAGTTGATCAGGCTGCCTCTGTATTATCCCAGTGATTGAAATAAATAAAAATGGATTGCTTGGTTGCTCTGGAATGCTTGGAAACTTACTGTGAACTCAGTCTGCCCAAGGCCCCCAGATTTTGCTGAGTTCCAAATAGAGTAAAGGCCTGTAAGCTGTCTTTCTATATATGGCTGTCTGATGGCTGGATAAGCCATTATTAGTTAAAGAAAAAGAGGATTTGATACAGTGGTGGGTTTCAAAAATTNCAGACTGTGGGGGGCGATATGCTGACTCTGTAAACCGCTTAGAGAAGGCTGAAAGCCCTATGAAGCGGTATATAAGTCTAACTGCTATTGCTATTGCTAAATAAAGTACCTGCAGAATTCATCAATTGCTTTGTGTCAAGGAGGACGTACCTACATCATAGACTGTACTATTCATCAAGGATAGCCATAGTGCTTATGCATCTCTTGGTTGGAGATGACAGGCTTGTTACAAAAGCAGCTTAATGCATTGTTAGACCATAAAGCAACCCAAATGTCATTTACTCACCATAATTTCCGCAGAAGATACCTCTTGCACTACTTGATCAAATTCTTCTGGGGACATAGGCAGAAGGGCTTCGGGGCCAGGCAGTCTGGAAGGGTGACTGAAGGATAGCAAAGGACAAAAACAATTAGTTTCTAATGAATTTGGGACATGATCCGTTAGTCCTGGCACAACAATTGTCTCCACATCCCTATTTCTAGGCTTAGCCTGTGGATAACCATCACTATCGCCTACAAACCATTCTCATTTCAATCAGAGCCTTCTCGCCACACTGAAACACAAATGACTTGCTTTGAGCCAGCAGCCTATTCAGCCTGTTAGTCGACATCAAACCAGGTTTCTACCGGAATCTATTGAGTGTTTATTAAAGGAGCAGGGGCAGGCACACTCGCATTTCCTGCTCGAGGCAACACAGAACTTGTGCTTTAGGATTTTCGCAAATAAATTCAGCAAGGAGGCGGCAAGGACAAGTACCTTTATTCCAGCGATCTCACTATTTTAGCCAATTCAATTTTTTTTATATAAAAAAAGTTAGGTTTGTGAATATTTTATCCCCAAAGGCCATCATGCGCAAAACGTACAGGTGAAGACAGCTGGATGCTAAGGTTGCTATATTTGTGATAGAACTTATCCTCCCTGCTAGCTTAAAGACCCTGCAATACTAAACCTGCCCATGACTTATGGCAGTGGTTCCCAAACTTGGCAACTTTAAGACTTGTGGACTTCAACTCCCAGAATTCTCCAGCCAGCTCTGTTGCCAAGTTTGGAAACCACTGACTTATGGGGTTGCGTTACCCCAAAGGAGCTGCAAAACAAACATTAAATGCATGATTCAATATACCTTCACTGTCACATAGCAAAAGGTTCCTTTTTTTTCTAAAACATTGCCGACTGTAGATTCTTCAGACAACCCCTTCCCAAATTAAAAAAAAACCCTAATCTTTGTTCTCTGAACCAGTTAAAATCACATGCAAATTTGATACGATTAAATTTCCTTTTGGTTTTCCTGGCAGATTCAGAACAGGTGGGATTTAAGGAACATTCTTAACTGAAATCTCTCTGCCCACCTACAGCCAACAAGGTCATCCAAGTCCTGTAAAGAGCTATTCTTTCTTCTTCCACTCCCCAAATCCATACGATGTACAGGTAGTCCTCGCCCTAACAGTTCATTTAGTGGCCGTTCAAAGTTACAATGGCACAGAAAAAACGTGACTTCAGACCATTTTTCACACTTATGACCACTGCAGTGTCTCGGGGATCCCTTTTGCAAACATCTGACAAGCAAAGTCAATGGGGAAGCCAGATTCACTTAACAACCATGTTACTGACTGAACAACCGCAGTGATTCACTCCCAACAAACGTGGCAAGGAAGGTCGCGAAATGGGGCAAAACTCAATTTAACACACATTTCTCACTTAGCTACAAGAAAGTTTCAGCTCAATTGTGGTCTTAAGTTGAGGACTACCTGTATACTAGTCCGATTTATTTGCAGGCCAATTGTTTTAAGGATCTTTTACGATAGAAAACCAGCT